CGGATTTTCATAATAACAAGCGGGGTCTACAAATTATTATTATTATTATTTTTTCAGTCATCTCTATAATTCCCTTATATGTTACTACCTCAAAGTTTCGCTTGACTTATCTGTTGTAGTGAGTCAAGCCGACAAGTATTCAACCCCCCCGCCCCACCTTTAATTTCTAGTCCCACTTCTCCACGTGGTTAGTATTGGGATCATTTTCGTGGAGAAACTTGTAAATAGCCGGGCCGCGATATAACTCAATAGACTATAGTCTCAAGAGACTATTACGCTTTTGCACGGTCAGCTACATTGAAAGAGTGCCATTAGATTTTGATTTCGCGTATCATGAAATCACGCCTTATTAGGCCTCATGGTGATTGTCTGTTAGAGTAGCATTCAGTGTTTTCTCGATAAGCTTCCCTAATATTTTCGATCTAAGAGAAAATTGAATTAGGAATACACTGACCTGCTCTAGCCAACAGTAACCTTGCTTCGTCCAGAGAAGAATCGCTCACACCAATAGCCTTCAAATGACCTCGAATGTCTTTGTCTCATTTTCGAATTAAAATACATTGAACATGTGCGGGATTCGTAACACTAGGACTGCACGTGCCACCAACGATTTGAGAATAACTTCAGGTGGCCAGTTTTTAGTTGTTATTGTCATGTGATACCACACTCCAATCTCGTTCCCAGAGTCTTCGTTCCCCTTAACCAGCGGTCGGAAAACGAGAGCTCTGGGAGCAACCATTTTGAAATAACCGAATTCTGGTGATTCTGCCCATCCGGTTTCACTGTGGAGTCTGCATCTATGGCGCATGCCTGAGATGGTTGCTCCCAGAGCTCTCGTTTTCCGACCGCTGGTCAAGGGGAACGAAGACTCTGGGAACGAGATTGACCACACTCGAGGATCACACGGCCGTGGCATAAAAATAGTACATCCAGGTTTTTTATTTCACAGCAATGAGAGTTTCAAAATTCGTAGACTTATTTCACAAGAGTCTTTACCAAGTAGTCTCAAAAAAAGATATTATATATACATATTTTTGGATGAAATCGATTCGCGAAAAGCAACTTGTCAATTATCGTCACGCCATCTCACCGCTATCACACCCGGTGTAACGCTGCTGAGTAAATCAACCCATGCATGTGGACGGAAAGTCAAAAGTTATATGTTGTTTTAAAATCTTAGAAGAAAACCTTCTACTTGGCAATACCATTTTGTTGTAATGAGAACACGAAACGCCTTGCAGCACACGAAATAGAACTTAGATGGAATAAATTTAATATTCACAAATTTCCGCTTCAGTNAGTAAATCAACCCATGCATGTGGACGGAAAGTCAAAAGTTATATGTTGTTTTAAAATCTTAGAAGAAAACCTTCTACTTGGCAATACCATTTTGTTGTAATGAGAACACGAAACGCCTTGCAGCACACGAAATAGAACTTAGATGGAATAAATTTAATATTCACAAATTTCCGCTTCAGTAGAAAAATACGCACGTACTCATAGACAAGTTAGAACTCCTTTTCAGCGTAAAAAAAATATATTACTTTCGATAAAATTGCCCACAGAAGATAAAAAATAACTATAAATCATTTAAATGGGAGAAAGGG